CCCGGCCCCCCCGCCACTCGAGGTCGTTGTGACTCGTTCGTATATACTCGACGGGTGGCGGGTTTGCTTTCGTGAAATCGACAGTTTCTCTCGTTTTTGATCTTAGTTACAATGGATTAGAAAGGAGATTGGAGGGCGCTATAGGGTCTTGAACGATCCCGGGTACACGCTCGCGTACATAAGCGAATGCACGCGTGCCGTTACCGCTAGCCGATGATTTTAAGTGCCGGTATCTGAAAGCTTAATGACGTCGTCGCTTAATGACGACCACGTCGACGACGACCAGGAAGGTTCTTTGATCTGCCCCGTTGCGCGGAGAAAGGCCTTCGGTTCTCATAATTGTTTTGGGTAAACTGAATGCGATGCTTTGATGCCGGCACCGACGTTAAGCGCCGATTCAGAACGCGTCCCGTTAACGAGGTAAATCCAGCAGTTTTCTACTCGCCACGGGCCTCGTCTGGGAACGAGAACGAAATTGTTCGGAAGCGAGGTAAACGATGACAATAATGACTTGGATCTGGTTCGAACCTTTGTCTGGCTCCATTCTCACGCGAATGCTCCTTTCGAGATCTTCAACTCGACCTCCTCGTTTTAATCGTTCTTACCGTCTGCTGTTTCTCGATCTTCAAACGTTAACTTCGAAGCACTTCGTAGAAACGTTTCATTGGCTTTCGAGTATCTTATCATTGGGATTATCACCACTTTCTGTTATAACACTTTTATATAACTCTTCTGATAGTTTTTTTATTATTGACTGTCGGTATATGCTTCTTCAGAAGACATGTGGTGTGTCATTACAGAAGATAGAGGCACGTGATGCATCTTTACATGTGGTGACTTTCCATTTTGTTTGAATTGCATTCACTTTAACATTCTTGTAATTTGTCACAATTAAAAGCATTTTTTTGCAAAAATTATTGAAACTATTTATCTACTTTCATAATCACAATTTATTATTCCATCTCAGTTATATCATTGTCTATTATATAATTCATTAAATCATTTCTGTAATAATTTTTTCAATAAAAAACGTATTATTGTCTCTTATCAGCACTGCTTATAAAAGTTCAAAAGTGTACCTTCATAGAACCTACTTCAAAAATGAAGTGTTTTATATTTTCCACTCATTTAGAGCATTTCAAAGAGGAATGTAACAAAATCATCGAGTGTCAGTCGAGGACTGACAAAACTGTTTCCATATATTCAACCCAAGAGATACAGTATTTTCCAGCTATATTTGTTTCATTGTTCGATGCAATTGCCTTTACGTGGTGTACGGTTAAATTGTCGTCACCGTTGCATATTTTTTGCGCATTTATGCCGTACAATTTTTACCGTGGTTGTAAACACGCGTATATCGATGATGTATTGTTTTGACAAACACCGGCCTTTCCAAATATTTGTTTGCATAGAACAATTTCCGATGAACGCCCAGTATTGGTAAATACCATTCACTGAAAAGTGTTAGCGATCATTGTTTAACGTTATAACACATTCATGGAATGGTATCTTTGCGAATTACACAATCAGTTGATTGAACGTTTCAAGCAACGCTATTTTCTCGTCGAAATTTGTAGAATTATCTATCATTTTTTTCTGCATCTTCGTCACGAGTGTATTTACTTATAATTTGTTTATAAATAGTCTACGTGTTTGTTCGTGTACG